TAATGTTCAAATTGGTGTCAGTCATCAAAAAGAAACTTTCTTTTATTAATTAGTGGTTTAAAGAAAATGAAATGTAAAAAAGTCCTGTGCGATTGGTTGTAAAGGAGTTTAAAAATTGTTGCTGGTAGCTGGTGATTGTAAGCGTTCATGTTTTTGTTCTTATTATTTTTGGTAATATTGGTGGTTATGATGATTATGAGGACGAAATGAGTAATCGTCGTTTCCTCATTCACATTTTATTGACAGGCGCTTATTGAAATATATAAATTTTTTTCTCAAAATTGCTTGGTCATTTACATGTATTTTTTTTCAGGGGCGAACGTGGCACATTGTTGTTTTTTTCGATGGTATTGATTCGTTTGGTTTTCGTACCCTACTAATACTGGTTAATGTTACACCTGAAGTCGTATCGGTTACTTCATCTTTCAAAAGGCTCGTATTTTTTGTGTGGTCTGTCAACTCTAATATATACCGTTTGGTTTGTTACAAAAAAAAAAAAAACTTTTTCTGTTTGTTCGAATTGTTATTTTCAGGTTGAAAAGCAAAAAATAAATAAATAAGAGAAAAAAGGAAAAAACTTTTAGAAGGTAGAAATATTACTCAGCCATTTGAAACTAAAAAGCGGTTTGATAAGGCACCACACGAGTAACTACATACTAGTGTTAAGTTTTATCGACGTCTTTTGCTTTTTTGTCATAAGACAATATGCGTGACCCATGTTGCTAATTCTGATCGGTGAAATCGTCAAAGAACCATAAGAAAACTTTTTCTTGTAAATATACGTTATTATATATGATTATCAATAAGCAATTCCTCCCGACTGTTTTTCCTACCATATTTTTTATTTTGCAGTATCTGTCTCATTTTGTTTCAAAGCATTGGATTTTTCGGTCTTTCACAGATATATTACTGGAAGCTAATGGCAATTATTAGGGGAAAAGTGCATACTTTTTCTGGTACGGGCTGTGTTGCGATTATTTGACTTTTGTTAACTAAAAGTTGTTGCATTGAAGAATGTAAGCAGTTTTGCCAATTCTTTTCGTACTTTTCTCACTGGTCACCGTTATACTAAGAAACTCAGAAAAGAGCTATAATAGGAAAAGTTGATAAAATGGTAGTACAAAAGAATCTTCGGCGAAGTTTAGGGCGAATCAGACAGTAGGTAGGGGAAAGGAAGAAGAAGTATATGACCAAAGTGGGAAATAAGATTTTGCTAATGTTTCCAAAAACTGTTGTTATATATTTGTCTTCCCAGTATTCATGTAGTTGGCTGAAAATTTTGTGGGATGTTTTTTTACGAAAGAATTTTCTTGTGTAGTTGTGCAGCGCATAATTTTTTGTGTTTGTAACAGCAAGCAAAAGGAACATTAGAATTAAAACAAGTCATTGGTTTTCTTCCATTAGTTTCAAATTCTTACATTTTCTTTTAAGTGTTTTCAGAAATGCACTTTCTATCGTCAAAGTTGTAAGAAATAAGGTTTAAAGTGCTCAACAGCAGTGGAACTTGGAGAAGGGCATCTTCACTAATTCACTGTTACCGGCTGGGTATTCGTCCCAATAATATTGGAGTGATCTCTTCAAGCTGTTATTGTACGTCATTTAGATCAAGACCGCTTATCAAAAAGATGGTTAGACATTTGGAAATATCGGTCTCGTTATTTTGGTATGTATTTAATTTTGCTTTCTGTGGTACCTCCATGAAGTCATCGTCATAATACAGTTTTCCCTGAGGATGGCTTTTAATTAGTTTTGAGGGTAGGGTGGATGAAAGTTGCTGTGCTTTAGTTTCTTAACCTCTCCTAATTTTTCCTGTGTGTTCTTGAAAAATGTTCAGTGTTCATTAGTTTCTTTGGTTGTATTGTTGTTTGTGTTTCTTGTTTTTCGTTTTTTCTCTAAAGGGAAGGGTGCTGGTTCAATGTCTGTTGCAGAGCATTTCTTCTGTTCTTATTCTGATGTATGACAGCAGAATTCATTTGCAAATGTGATTTTCTGTATTATTATTATTTTTTTCTTGCAGCTCCCTTCATTTCAATCAGTAACATGCCAAATTAAGCAAGAAAAAAAGCGTAGATGAAGAACATAAATAAGTTTTACAAAAGAAGGAAGTTTTTGTGATAATCAGAATATACCAGTCATTTGTTTTCTTTAACTTTTCTTATCTGAAAAAAAGTTGAGTGTTTTCTCAATTGCCTTTATTGAATGTCAATTTACGGTACTCTACATTTTAATGGAATTAGTTAAGAGTCGCTCTTTTTTTGTAACTCGATTAAAACACTGCTGTGTAATTTTTACCAACTTTAAACAACGGGTTTACTGGGTATTGCTACGAATAAGTAAGGTTTTTTGAGGATTTATCGAATACCGCTGCATAGTCCTTAAATATTGGCTTTTTAATGAACAAATTTGAAACTAAAGCACTAGTCATTGCGTAAGTGTTGCTAGTAGTATTCAAAGAGTGAAACGTCAGCTGTTTGTTTGGAAATATTGTGCGGGATTGCTAAGAAAAAGAAATAAAACATCTTTAGCCAGTCAGATTAGCGACTTTGAGTGAAAAATATTTTTAGCAGTAGAAATCACAGTTGTAGTTAACGATATGAGCAAAAGTCGGTTAATAAGGTACAATGATGATGGTGATGTTTTGTTTTAGTGGGATTTTCATGCTTAGTAATCAGTGAAAGTGAGTGCAGTTCCTTATGAAAATTCCAGTCATATTTTGGTCGTGTGTTTATTAAATTTGTATATACTTTTTTGACAAAAATGACAACCATTTGTGGGTTAGTGGTATGAGCGCAAGAGGAAAATTTTTTTTTTGATTGGACTCTACGGGGCCGGAAGCTCCTGATTTTTTATTTAAGGCCCCGCACTTGTTTTAAAGGCGCTAAGGATGTGTTTAACTGTGTTAGGTCTATGCTTGGACTCGTAGGAAAGCTTGATGACTTTTTCCGAGGGCATTGTCACTGTGGTTGCATTGCACTGCTTGGGTTGTTGCGCAGAAAAAGAAGCTTGTAATATTTTTGATCCAGGTAACTGTTGTTGTTAGCTGGTTAAAACTTTTAAGGGTAATTTGAAAAGAAGTGTAGTTTCGCGAGAAAGTTAACTAGAAAAGTAGACTGACATCATTGGCAGGGGAACAACGGAAATGTGGTGAAGTAGGTGTTTACGTTATACTGAGGTAAACGTGAAACAAATGAAAAACTGGAAGAACTGGGGTATAACGGAATTATGAATCTGCTTGACTTGAGACGAGTTGTTATATTATTCTTTATAGTTTTAGCTGGTCAAGCAGAAGCAGTTATTAAAGTTTTTCCTTTAACGGAAAGCATGTTCTTTGTAAGTTTTTGGATGTAAGCAAGTTTAAAAGGAGAGTCAAAATAGGGTTGCCTGCGTTTATTGTTTAGAAGGGAAAGAGAGGGTGTGCTAATTTGATATGTTATTAACGTTTTTTTTGTCAGAAAATTAAGGACTTCGTCGGTGGCACTTAAATGTACACGGTTAGTAAGTTACAAGCGGAAGAATTGTAACAGTGTTTGAACATAGTGATATATTGCTCGAAAATTTGAATAGCTGATGAAAAAAGTATTCATTTCAGCTTTCATATAGAGAAGAACACGAATTTTCAATTTTTTTCGGATTCTGCTGCCGAATTTTGAACTGCTACACTAGTTTGATTGCTGTTCTGCAAAAGAAAAAAGCCTTTTTCAATTTTAGGAACAAAACACGTGTAACTGCTGAAAACTTGGCCATCACATTTATTCTTACGGAAGGGAGTTTCTTTGGAAGGGTTATAAAATATAGGGGGGGTTTTTTGGATGCGAACCATGCAGACGGTAAATTAGTCGGTGTCGTTACGATGGGAGATGTTATCTCAGGAGTTTTGGCCAGTTTTAAATTCATTATTGTTGCCTCTAACTAGGTTTTTTTTGTGATTGCAGAATAAGTAAGAGAATGTCTCAAGGTAGGTCTTCTGGTGAAGAACAGAATTAAAAAGGGAAGGAAAGAAGAAAGACATAAAGGGATTAAAATAGCAGGATGAATCAGATTGTTTTTTTAGAATAGTGCGATTTCCCTAAGTGTACAGCGCAGTTCTACGGCATTCAGTAAATCAAAAAATTACAGCTAGATCTGTAGGGCGAAACCGCTGTTTTCAGAAAAAGAAAAAATGTTCCGGGTTGCATCTGAAGCAGATGTATTTGCATATGTTTACTTTTCCAGCGTCTTGGAGGTGTTAACTGTAGGTTAGAAATCACTAAAAATTAATACCATTCACAGCAAAGCTGGGAAATGGAGGAAATTCGTGGTAATTTTGTTGTTTGCAGTAGTTTTTAAAGTCATTTTAGAAAAGGAAGAGGTTGGACATTGGCAAGGTTAAAGAAGGAGCTAAACAGAAGGGAAGAATTCTTAGAGGTTTTGTGCGTTTTGGCGGCGTAGTAGTTTGTGCTTTCAGGTGGGCTTTTTTTTGTTGTATGTTTGAAATATTATCTATTAATTTGCTGAAATGCTATCTAGAAATCCTTTGTAATTATTTATTTAGCTTTTTTTCATTTTCAGCAGTAATAATTTATTGCTCAAACTGGTTTGTTTACTACTCACTTTCATTTTTTTCTGCTTGTTTGCTTTTTTGCTTTCTTGACTTTTTTGCTTCATTTGCTTCTTCCTTTTTATTTTTAGAGTACATTGTTTCTTTTTGTTTTATTTTTTCGCGATTGGTAATTTGGAGAAGAGGGTGGGGAGGAGAGAAATGATGGGAGGGAAGAGGGACAGAGGATGTTTTTTACTTGTGTTAAAAGTGTTTGAAAACTTAGAAGGTGAGATTGGAGTGAGAAAAGAGTAATAATCGATTTCTAAATCGTCTGGTTTTATCAGGAGAATTATTTCATTATATTATTTGCACCACATTGGTTTTTTTCTTTTTGGATATAATGAAAAGTTGTTCAAGCAAGTTCTTAGTTGAATTTGTATGAATAGCCAAAAAAAAAGTTTACTTCTTGCTGCATAACCATTTATTGTTATTATAAAGTTTTAATTTCAGTTGATTTTTTGGTGAATTCCGACAACGCGTTTGGTGGGATGGGAAGAGAGGAAGAATAGGTAAGGGTTGATTTGTTAGTGTTGTCGCTGGTCGGCTGCGACGTATCCGTATTTTAGTGTATCTGTGCTTGTGTCGGTCATTCATTCGGCGTACAGCTAATAGTGCCGTATGTGTTGTTGGTGTTGCTGTTATTACTGCTGTTATTGTTGTTGCCGTTGTGGTTGCTATTGCTATTACTGTTACCGTGGCTGCTGTTGCTGTTGTTTCGGTTTTGGGCGGGTATTTCGGTTATGATCTCTCGCAGTGGCGGGTTGTCGGTAGCGCGCACATGCAAACAGTTGGTGCTTACAGTTGTTGGTAATAGAGAGATAGAGAAGGGGAATGGCGAATGAGTGGGGAGGGGTGTTATGCAAAACAACTGCCCCTTTAAGAATTGTCGTTATAGGTAAATTGTTGCCTAAAGGCATATGCCCCGGGGCGCAATAAATTCTACATCGTTTTCCGTGTCGTTTTATTCTATATTTTTCGTTTATTTTAGATTTTGTTAGCATTTTTTAGTTTAGCTCATAAAATGTATAAGGGGAATCATTATCATTCGTTTGTTTTTGCAAGCAAGTGCCTATATATGTATTTATATTTATATATTTATAAATAGTACGTTGAACTTTTTGTATATATGCAAAAGAAGCCGACAGCTTATGCATACTGATTTTTAGTTCCTTTGGGTTTGCAATTTGTTATGAAACTATGCCAACTGTTTTCATTTTTGGTCTCGCTTCAAATTAAGGGAAGTAAAAAGTAGAGCGTATTGATAATGATTATGAAGATGGTGGTAGTATTGTGGGTCTTGATTGGTGGCGATGCTCTTTTTTCTATGGTGGTTCGTTTGTTGGGTTTGTTTTATTTATTTATTTATTCGTTTATCTCATTGCCTGGGTTTTTTTTGCATTTCTTTTTAGGTTATGATATTAACCTGAACAAATGAAAAGTTTTATTTTTTATGTTCGGCGATATGTTCGTCTTTCTGTAAGCAGCAATTTGAAAAAAAGGCGATTGCGTTTCTGTTGCTGATCAGAAAGCCTTTGTGTTGTTCATCGTTGTTTTTGTTTTGTTTTTATTTTTGCTGTTGCTGTTGTTCCATCATCGTCCACTGGCAGGCTTTTTGACTCTTAGAAGTTTTTTTGTTACAGCGCTGAGAAACATTTTCCTTATTGGAGTCAGATGGAGAAGTATTAATTTGACAGCTTCCTTTCCGTTAATTCTGTGCCAACTTGCGATCCAGTGTTGTCCTTTAATTGAGCAAAACGACGACAGTAGCAGAAGAAAAAAGTTAGGAACCAAAATTTTTTTGCCACTTTTTTTTATTTCTTTTTTTATCTTTCTTTTCTGCAGAAAATATCTTTTCGGCACATTTTTGGTAACGTAGTTTAAAGCAGATAGCATAATTGGTTATGATTAATTTGGAGGCTGTTTTTTTTTTCTTGTTTTTCGTTTTTCGTTTTGTTAGCTGTTTAAGCGAAAGAGCCGATAGGAAGAATATGTAATAAAATGTCGAAATTCGCCCTCTGAATTGTTGAAAATAGGGGGAAAGAAGAAATGGGGCGCATTTTTCGGTTGCTTAAGGGTAGACAACAGTTCCCAAAAAACTTTCTTTAATTGGACAAGTCGGCTTGAATTTATTCCGTTTAAGAAGTAGATTGTTGCCAATTTCAAACGTTTTTTGATTTCCTAATCGTTTTATAGTTTTTTTCTTATTCGTATATGCATATTACGTAACTATTGCAACATTTGTTTGTTTTATCCGCGTCGGCAAGAGAATCTATATGGAAAAACGCTCAAAAAAAAAATCCAAAATTGGAACTTCCGTTGTTCCACGTGGTCCTTTTGATTTATACGCGCAAAAGAACAAACTAATTGTTTAGTTTTTTGGTTGCTTCCAGCAGTTTGTTTTTTTGTCGATTTTAAATTATTCATTTATCTGTTAATTTGCAGCACTTGTGCACAAAGATCAGTGAAAAAGACTTGAAGGAAGAGGAAGAGAAGAAAAATGATTAGAACATGCGAAAGTGCCGCCTTCGTTTTGCTGTTTTTTTTTTTTAATTTCAGTTATGGCCAAAAAAAGATTCTGTTTTTCGGTTACAGTTTTTTCAATATGAGTAGTGTAAGAGAAGGGAAAGGAAGAATTGTTGAGCTGTTGTTCTAATTTATTGGCAATGTTCAATTGTGTAAGCAATGGTGCACTGGTTATATGGTTAAGTGACGGTTGTCTACTTTCAAAGAACAGGTTTTTACGAAGATTGCGTTTCAGTTCCTCCTCTTCCTCTTCACTGTCATCATCATCGTCAACAGCAGCAGTTGTGTCGTCAGCAACGTAGATAATTGTCGTGTGTCGTAAGCATATGTTAGTTTCCGGTAATAAGAAGCATGAACAAACAGAAAATTGCTGAGAACTTACTAGCAAGTTATATTAGTAATGTTGCAGCAGATTTGTCGGTCGTTTTCAACGATAGCCATATTAACAGTAAACGTTGTCATTTTTATTGTTATTTTTGTCGGATATGATCCGCGTTGAGTGTTTGATTTATTGCTGTTTCTTAAGCCATGGCCGTATTTTTTTTTGCAGAAGGGAAAATAGTTTTGAAAAAAGTAATGCTTTGGAAATTTTCAGTGAGTACGTTGACAGAAATAATTTTTATATTAAGAGATATAGGTGAATGAATGTTTGGGCTAGGATTAATGGATGATTGAAGAAGATTTGCTCGGAATAGAAGTAAAAGTTGATTGTTTTGTTTAAAGAAGAAAGCAAAGAACGAAAAAGAGAAGAAAAAAGAAAAAAGCAGATGACGCCTTAAGATAATTAGAGAATGATTGAGTATGAAAGGTTTTGAAAAATGAAACTAACTCAAAACTGCATTATTAATAAATAATTTTTGGAAAAAAGGTTTTTTTTCATTTTTACCTCTCAATTTATTCACAAAATTATTTACACCAATTGAACTTTTTTTGAATGGGCTTTCAATTTTTATAATATTTTTTGTGTGTCGGGGTTGCTTCGTTATGTACTTTTTTTTAGGCACGACGTACTTTTATTGTCTGATTTGTTTTCGATTTACATTTTTTTGCTAACATTATGGAAGGGGAAATTTTTTTTCGTTACAACTGGAAAAACGATATGGGTCGCCTGTAAAAGTGATGAGGTGTTCATTTTGGTTTTGGGTTTTAGAGGAGGGATTTTAGGAGTAACTAAATAAGGAGAGTCGGGAAAATGTGAACAAGATTCGTCGAATTTAATTTGTTTCTTTTAATAATTTTTGGGAAAAAAACTTGGGTTTTTTATTACTGTTTTTTTTTTTTTTTTTTTTT